TCTTTTCATGCTTTCTGGATCATTCAATATATTGTCCATAAAATCTTTCAACATTGCAACAGGAGCCTTAAATTTTTCAGTTCTTTCAGCTTGAGGAGTGCAGAGTGAGTTCTTCCCTTTTTCTTCTCTAGTTTCAGCTCTGTGCACATTCCATTATAATACCTTGCTTTGTCCTCCCGAGCTGCCCTTTGAAACTGTCTGTTCAGCTCTTTCATTTCAACATGTCTTTTTTTTTTTTTTTTAAGATTTGGCTTCTCAACATTCCAGTGTAATCTTTAGAGTCTCTTCTGACATCCATTTCAGGTTTTTTTTCCTCCTCTGTTTTTGTAATGTCCGTTTGCTTTCTTCATGGATGATATCCTTGGTATTATACCACAACTCACCTGGTCTTCCTTCTATCATTTGTGTTCAGTGCCTCAAACCTATTCTTAAGATGATCATGAAATTCTGAGGGAATTGATTCAAGATCATATCTTGGTTCCTGTGGGCTTATTTTAATTTTCTTCAGCCTCAATTTGAACTTGCATATGAGTAATTGATGATCTGACCCACAGTCTGCCCCTGGCTTAGTTTTGACTGCTGATAGTGAGCTTCTCCAATGATTTCTTCCACAGATGTAGTCAATCTGATTTCTATGTAGCCCATTGGGTGAAATCCACGTGTAAAGTCATCTTTGTGTCCTTTAGAAAAAGTATTTGCAATGAATAAATTATTATAAACACACAATTCAATCATTCTATTTCAAGTCTCAATTGTATCTCCTAGCCCATATTTTCCAACTACTGTTCCTCCTTCATTGTTTCCCACTTTAGCATTCTAGTCCCAATTATCATTAACACATCCTGATTGCATGTTCAGTCAATTTCATACTTCAAAATTTGGTAAAAATTCTCAATTTCTTCCTCTTTGGCACTAGATGTAGGAGCATATACTTGATGTAAACAGGTCTTCCTTGTATGCATATGTGTATTATTCTATCACTCACAACACTGTATTTCAGGATAGAACTTGAATTGATTTTTTTACTATGAATGCTACACCATTCTTCTTCTGTTTTTTATTCCAAGTTCAAGTGAAATTTAGAAGAGGCTATGGCACCAAGGATATCATTGCTGATGTCAGATGGATCCTGACTGAAAGTAAGGAATACCAGAAGAATGCCTATTTGTAATTTATTGACTATGCAAAGGCATTTGACTGTGTGGATCATGACAAATTGTGGCTGACACTGAGAAGAATGGGAATCCCAGGGCACTTGACTGTGCTCATGAGGAACCTATACTTGGACCAGGAGGCTGTTGTGCGAATGGAGCAGGGGAGCATTGCATGGTTTGGAATTGGGAAGGGAGTGTGCCAGGGATGTAGTCTATCTCCATACCTGTTCAATCTATATGCTGAGCAAATCATCTGAGAAGCTGGACTCTATGAAGAGGGGTGTGGCATTAGGATTGGAGGGAGACTCATCAATAACCTGTGTTATGCAGATGACACAACCTTACTTGATGAAAGTGAGGAGAACTTGAAGCAATTGTTGCAGAAGATCAAGGAATGCAGTCTTCAGTATGGATTGTGTCTCAATATCAAGAAAACAAAGATTCTTACCACTGGACCAATAAGCAGTATCATGCAGGATGGAAAGGAGATTAAAACTTTCAACAGCTTCATTTTGTTTGGATCCACAGTTAACACCCTTGTTATGAGCAGTCAGGAAATAAGG